CGCCTCTTCTTCTCTGCTGGACACCAGCTGAGCGGCTGCGCTCACGCTGCGTGCTTCATCTGGTCTCTCTGGCTTCGCTCGAGACAGCGAACCCTAAACTAGTCACAAAGCGCCAGGTTCGCGCACTAGCGGACCCTCAGTAAGATTAACGCTGCCTAGGGGCGTGGCTAGCCACTGAGGAAGATGGCGTGCTGAGCCGTCCGCTCTTCCCTGGACCCAGCTACTTCCTCTGATTTAGCCCGCTTATTTTACTAGATACTTTATGAGCCGGTAAAATAAATTAAGTCGGAAAGGGGATCCAAGCTTATTTGGAAGTTCCGAAGAAGGTTGAGAGGCGCCCCTCCCAAGTAACGAAGAAGATGCAGTGGAGGAAGAACGCACTTCCCGCAGCCGGGGACGGGGACGGGGACCGGCACCTGAGTTGGACTTAACTGGACAACGGATAAAACGACTTAGGAAAGAACTGAAGGCGAAATGCTTTCACACACGCTGTGGGAACAACTAACTAAAGACTTGGTGGTATGAGCAAATGAATAAATTCAAGGAAACGTTACAGCAAATAACAGACACAGACAAACTCTACAGATTATACATAAAAATATACAGGCTACAGATAATATTTCAGAGATAAGCAAGGCTTAAAAGGATACCTCTAAAATTAAGGTGGAGTTGGCAGATATTCAGGATCATAACAGGAGAAACAATTTAAGGAATAAAGGAGTGTCAGAGAAAACTGGAATGACTGATTGGATATTTCTAAATTTAGAAACCTATTCTAAGATTAGATACCAATATTTCTAAGATTAATGACCTGAATGCTGATTTGAGCATAACCGTTAAAGATCTATTGAATGTGCTCACTGGGTTTACTCTCCTAGGGATACACTGAAACCTAGATATATCTTGGTCAAATTTGTTAATTCAAATATAAAAGACAAAATTATAAGAAAATCATATGAGCTGGAGGAGATTAAATGGGATGGCGAGAGAGTGTCCATCCAAAACTTTGCATGGCTGCGCTGCAGTGAAGAAAGGAATTTAAGCCACTGGCAGAAAAATTTATACAGGACAAGATTCATTACAACTGGTAATTTTCTTTCAAGTTAATTATTTTCATCTTACAAGGAAGAAAAATTATTTCAACTTTAATGTGTGCAGCTTGCTTGCGGAGCTCTCTGACAAAGGGTGAAGGAAGGAATCTAATTTGTGCTTGGATTTGTGGAAAGTAGACTAAATTACAAGCTGAAGATAAGAATGCTGCACTGGGTTGCCAAGCAAAAGAAATTATATTGACTGCATTAACTCTTTTTCAACTTTTAGATTTAGAGGAAGGGGGGAAAGGAGGGAGTTAGATAAATAGGGGGAAAAAACAAAACAATAATGTAGGTTGAACTATGGCTAAGAAACTAGAAATTAATTTGGGAGCTTACTGGCTAGGAGGGGGGGAAGGAATCTCAGTAGGGCATTTCTCCCCCCCCCCCCCCCCCCCCCTTCTGACCATGAAGAAGATCCTTAAAGGGTCCTCCATGATTTCTAAGCTGTTGGTCTAAATGGGATTGGAGGGTAGGGAGGTTAGATATGAAGGTATGGCACAAGGAGAGAGTGGTATAAGGGAGGCAGCTGATTTTCAAAGGGGGAAGGGAGACTGGGAGGATGGAAATAATGCAGAAAAAAAGATCACTAATGTTATACGTGTGGTTTAAAACATCAGGCAACATAAGTTTCTATGAGCAATAGCTTTCAATTTTGTTATACAAGGTACAATGACAATAAAGTTTACAATAATAACAAAAGTTAGGAAATATTCTTTGCACAGAGAAACTAGATAGATTAGATAACTGCAGGTAATGGGAGAGCAATGTACAGGGTTTTTAATTTTTTTTTTTATTTTGCCTTTATTACTTTTTTTAATAAGTAACTCAAGGTGGCAAGCATACCTAATACTCCTTCCTCCTCCTCTTTTCCACACAACAACCCTGTGAGGTAGGTTGGGCTGAGAGAGAGAGTGACTGGCCCAACATCAGCCAGCCAGCTTTCATGCCTAAGGTGGGACTAGAACTCACAATCTCCTGGTTTCTAGCCCAGCGCCTTAACCCCTACCCCAAGCTGGCTGTCTCATTTTTTCTAATATTAGAAA